AAAATATTAATATATTTTAGAATATATTTTAGAATAAATAATTTTATCTACGTTTCATCATTCAAAGAAAACTATTCCAAGAAACCGAGTATTGCATATATTATTTGAAAACAAAAAATTATTCGGATAATAAAATTTATTAAATTTGTGGTATTTAATTTATGGTATTGAGATAGAATAACGCGTTTTTGTTTCGAATATTATATTGGAACTACTAAAATAAATGTACATACAATGATAGAAGTGACTATATTAACATGTAAAAAAATAAGGAAATTAATAAATTGTAAATTTAATTGTAAACTTAAAAAAAAGTTTATATTTAGTAAATAATTAGTTTTAGAGTATCAATTTTACAATAATTTTTGGTATTTCATATCAGATAAAATAGAACTTTGTAATTCTTTGACATATCTAAAGAACTTCGTAATTTTTTATCTAACTAGTAAATAGCTTTATTTGAATATACAATTCCGAACAAATTGATGGGATATTCGATCTTTTTGGACCGTCTTCCCCAAAATGTGAAGCATTCTCGTGGATATGCAGTAGAAGAATAAATTTGGGCACAATTTTGATCGGCTATTCCAGTGTGCTAACACTATGATATGCAGAAAAGTACATTTGAGCATAAATTTGATTGTTTTCAATATATTATCATCATTATGCGTAATGCTTTATCTTATATAATAGGGAGTTTTTACAATATCATTTATCCAGAAGGTGAATACTAAGGTCATGTTATCTGCTTTCTGTGAAAAATGAATTATATTTGAAATATTTTTATTTAAAACATATTTGCAATACAATCATATTTTATATTTTTTATTTCAGCGGATCACATAGAAGTATTACATATTTTGTATTTAAAATCGAAAGATTGAAAATTTTTTTATATTTTATAAATCAAATAATAATTGATTGAATGTTATATATTTGAAATACAAAATACAAAATATTTTTATAAGCTCCCATGAAATACAAAATATTTTTACGTATTCCGAAAAAATACAAAATACAAAATATAATTGTCTTACCAATACTGTTTTTTAAATAAAAATATTTCAAATATATTGGTCTTGGAAATGACAATGAAATCGATGTCGAATTGACAACGAATCGACAATGAATCATTTTCGTCGATTCCATTATCATTACTGGGCATGATGGAAGGATTACATGGTGTGCAGTTCAGCCAACCACTAGACTTTTGCACTGCGTCGTCTATAATGGGAACGGACTATCAATTGTGAAACATGAGGCGGTATTCATAGTCGATTCTTATTTTAAAACCGTCTTAAATAATGTCTTAAGTTAATACAGTCTTCAGATTGACTTATGATATCTTAAGATTGTACTTAAGACAGTCTTAAATGTAAAATCGATCAACCTATTTCGCGTCATGAAGTGATATTGAATCTTTCCTTGTTTAACATACTTTGTTTCTCTTTTTATAAAAAGAAAACCTAAAATACATTAAAAAGTGTATCAAACAAGGAAAGATACTCCTTCCTATTATGAAATCCATAGACGGAAAAAGCAGAGATTTAGACAGAGACACTGTTCAATTGCACACACCATGCCATCTCTTTCATGTTATTCTTAACAACTAATTAAGAAAAGAATGACTTTAGTGTTCATCCGTATTTAGATCCACATTATTGTAAAAATTCCCTATTTATATCATGGTCTTACTCATGCTTAGTCGTGACGATGAGATTGATCTATAAATTTCGTCGATGGGAGGTGTGTGGTAGACTCTTCCTGTTGGCTCGCCAACTTGGTGAACATATCCTTGAGATTGGCCAGATTGCGCCTCTGCTGCAACATCAAGCAATTGGTGACAACTGAAAACAACTGATGTTTCGGTCGCTGAAGTTCCACTTCCGGGGAGAGGTCCTGATCCAGAAGAATGCGCCGTATTACATGGTTGTTTTCTTCGAATATTGGCTGGGACATTTCACAAGATTTTTCTTGCTGACAGTAATTTGCGTTTCAAGTAGATTACGATTCGATTCCTAAAATTGTGAATATTTTGCGAATTAAATCACTTGTTGCAACCATCTTATATTAATATACTGATATGCAGGATTGGATAGTAACTATAGTTAAAACGTTAATAGTTAAAAAAAAAATTATTAAAAAGTTAATAATTTTTAACTTAACTTAGTTAATTTTAAATGCATTAATTTTTAACTTAATTTAGTTACTTTTAAACTTTAATTTATTAACTTTTTTAAATTAAAAAATTTTTTAGCTCTCTTAATGCTAATATTTTTTTTCTATAAAGTCTTAAACATTAGAGAATTAATTTAGAAAAAAAAAGTTCAATGATGAGAGATTCTATAATAAGAGCCATATCATACGGTAGCCAGTTTTTATTGATTCGCTAGGTTTTATCAATTCCCGCTTATAAGGTGCGTCACCAAAATCCGGACAAATTTCAATTTAAATTCTCAAAATGGCCGCGATACCGCGATTGAAACCAAGTGCGGAGTATAATCAAAAAGCCGCAATCATCGAAGGCCTTCGTGCTGGGCGCTTAGCAACGGAAATAATTCGGTTCTTTGGATATCCGAGATCAATCGTTTATGATGTTTGTGGCAAAATATACGGAACAGTTCAACGAAGGTTCCAGTATACCAGGGAGGAAGAGTCACTCGAAAGAACGCACTAGGAGAATTCCCGCAATCATTGAAAGGACTCAAGCGCTGATTTCGGATGACTCAGGGCAATCGTTGCGCGTTCTGATAGATATAGTGAAGCCGTGGATGGAAACCGTGGCGTCCGGAAGGCTATATGTTTTTCAGCAGGACGGTGCATCGACTCATACGAATCATTTGATTCAAAATTGGCTCTCAGACAACGTCGATATGTTTTGGTCCAAGAAATTCTGATCTCCTAACAGCCCAGATTTAAATCTCTTGGATTACTATGTATGGAATATAGTTGAAAGGATCACAAACAAGTCTTGGCATTCCAATGTGACATCATTAAGGACCGCTATTGAGGCAGCATTCGTCGGCGTGGATAACGCTACATTACAGTGTGCATGCGAACGCTTCAGATTGAGAATAGAGGTCGTCATTCATAATGGGAAATATATCGAATATAGAGAATATATAACTATGCTCCCCCAAGTGCCATGTAAAAGGATTTTTTGTAATATTTAATTTTTCATTTTATTTAAAGAAATTGTTCGATTTGTCCGGATTTTGACGCACCCTGCATTTGAATCAATTTTAGATATCATAAATGTTATATTTCAGCAACATAAATATAAAATGAGATGAAGAATTGTTGTATAAAGTTAATTCAATCTTAACTTAACTTTTACTAAGTTAATTCTTTATTTCTTCAACTTTTAATTTAATTTTATTAATTTTATAAGCCATTAATTTTAACTTAATTCAAAAAGAACATTAACTTACCCAACTCTGCTGATATGGGATATCAACTATTTACTTTGCTGATATTTACTCTGGTAGGGTACATGTACAGATCTCACGTTGCGTAATCGGTGCGTAATGTATACACGTGTGTATACAGCAATGCGTTGAGCGTCGAGAACTTTCGAACTTTCAAGACGAGCGTGAGCGAAGTGTTTCTAACATGTTCTAATGCAGGCCTGGGCCAAATTATATATTTCGACTGATTTTGTTTATCATCAATTCTACTCCTTTTTGTAACATTTCGAGCCTGCGCACAATGAAAAGAATAGAGAACAGGGAACAGAGAAAAAAAATTTCAACCTATCAGAAACTGTATTCCACAATACATGATTTCTGATAAGTTTAAATTCTTATTCTCTATTCCCTATTCCTTTTATTATGTGGAGTCCCTTAGACTGCGCACGGAGATATATGTATATAAGATCTATTTTTTATTGTTGCACTTTGAATCGGTGCAAGTTGAAGTGAAACAAATATATATTTGTTTCATTTTAATTTATTGCATTGTGTGCACCAGTTTAGAAAGTGCAGCAATAAAAAAGATCTATAGAAAGATCGAGTTCAGGGACGATTAGCTGTAAATTATATAGGGCACTGTAGGGCTATAGGATTTTGAAACATATTGTTCTATTCATTTACAAAGTTTAATTATTATTATTATTATTATTATTATTAATATTATATATTTTTTAAATCAATTAAAATTTTTTCAAATATGCAACCCGATTCCAAAATCTATTTTAACGAAAGGTCTATTTTTTGTTCCAGTGATAGATTAGCTAGATTGCACATTACTAGAACTTTCTTCTCACTTTCGTTAAATATTAAATATCTATCTACCTAACCTATCTTATTTTAAGATAAAGATATTTTAAGATTAATTCCAAATGTGTATACTAGTTCAACTAAAAAAAAAAAATAGTCAAGGTCCCTGTTCTTGAAAAGAAACGTATGTATATAAAATACATTCGTATTTATATAAAGAATTATTTATTCGTATTTATACAATTCGATCCAGCCGAGATTTTTCATGATCTTTATGAGACTCAAGAATTGACTGAAATCGACTACGAACTCTATAAAGTATTAAATCAATAAAACCTATTATAAGAATGATCTGGCAATTCTGGAACAATCTAGAAAGCAACGGGATTTTTCTAACAACTCTCGGAATTACCTGCAACAGATAAGGCATCTCGATGATTGCGCACTCTAGAACACTTTAGAATCTGCTGGACATTTCTGTTTTGTCGATTTCTAGGTTTTTTTCACTTTATGGCTCAACGACTTCGAATTTTGAATCCAAGCAATCCGGCACGAGTCGGAACAAAGCAAAATCGACACAAAGGACCAACAAACTAGAAAACAGAACGCATTTCTCAATAGAAAAAAGCACGTGATCGAAATTTCATATGTGTCATGTGATAACAGTGGTTACTTTGAATTTTGTTTCATATAAATTATAAATTGTCAGATTCATATTAACATTAGAGATGGATGAGGATAATGTGTTATATGTAGAAGTGTGTCAACATGCTAGCAGGTTGTTTACTTCATTGTTTGTTGATATTCTGTGATGAAGATTATGAATATATTTGTTTGATTTTCAGTTAGATCTGTCTAACTTACTATTATTTATGTTAACCTTAAAAGAAATTAAAAGGATTAATTAATCCTTTTTTGCAAAATGATATGTAATTTATTATATATTAAATATTATATATATTAAATATTAAATGATATTGATCATAAACTTCATTAAATTATTTATTTATCAAATAATTTCTATGAAAATAGATGAAAGAAAGATGAACATTGAAAGACATATGAATTGCGCTTTAAAATAAAAACTGAAAAATGAATTCATACATAAGCTATTGAAATAATTTTATTAGAATAATATATAATATTGATATAAAGATATTTATTGATTTATAAACAATTTAGTAATACTCTTAAAACTGTACTCAATCACATTTGAGATCAATTTCAAGAGATTTCTATTTTACTCTAATTATGTATGAATAAAAACTAAGTGATTTGCTTTTGTCCTATTGTTTCAGTATTTTGTCAAAAACCATAATTGAACAAGCAGTAAATGCAGAATTACAATTGTTGGATGAAATTTCTCTTGATGTCGTTGTGTCTAGTAAAGATTCTCACAATACAGTTATTAGAGATCATGTTGAATCTATGATATGCTCGTCTAACTTTATGGAGGTATTATCAATTTTCATATTAATTTACTGCAGAGAGATTTTGCATTTATATTATAAATATATATGCTCATATTTATTTTAGAGAGGAAAGGTTAAAATTGAAGGAGCAATAATTAAGTATTACATCTATAGATTGACACAGGAAGATGCTGCCATAGAAACAATGCAATGTGATTCTGATGAATTGCCAGTTGCATCTCACTGGCTCTTACCTGCACAGGAATTTCACTATATGTGGGAAAATCTATATTACGATTGTGACGTAAAGAATAATGTTAGTAAAATTTAGTAGAAGTAATTTATAAAATGATTTTTTTTGTATCATTGCAGGTACTTGCAGTATATTTTATACAATTTTGTATCACATGATTCTTTAATTTTATTTCCATTTTTTTTAGTTATTACGTTTTGTGGAGACTACAATGTTATTTTCGGATCATGCTGTTAATTCTAACATTATAAGCTGGAATAAAGTGATATTGTTACATGGTCCTCCAGGTACAGGCAAAACCAGTATGTGCAAAGCTCTGGCACAAAAAGCTGTCATTCGCATGGGAGATCGCTTTACTCATGGAAAATTTATAGAGATTAATAGTCACAGCTTATTTTCAAAATGGTTTTCAGAGGTATGTATTTGGTTATTATTTATTCTTATCTGGTTTTAGAAGAGAAATGTAGGATTAAAATTTGGGATAGAAATAAATTCAAGAGAATTCAAGAGTTTATATATATATTAATAACGCGTTCACATTTAGAGAAGTAACAAAATTCATATATTATATCATTTGATATAAAAATTGATATTATTTTGTGTTTTGTGTTGCAGAGTGGAAAACTTGTTATGAAGTTGTTCGATGAAATAAAGAATTTGGTCCAAGATGAAAGAGCACTGATATGTATTTTGATTGATGAGATAGAATCGTTAGCGCATGCACGTAAATTATGCAGCAATGGGACCGAACCATCTGACTCCATACGTGTTGTGAACGCATTACTCACACAGTTGGATCAAATCAAACGATATCCGAACGTTTTAATTTTGACGACAAGCAATATGACAGAAGCTATAGATCTTGCGTTTATCGATCGAGCGGACATAAAACAGTATCTCGGATATCCATCTGAAATCGCTATTTACAATATTTATCATTCATGCCTAAAGGAATTAATGAGGGTATGTGTTTTTAATTCGAAATACAATATGATAATATATATACTAACTATAATGATCAGTAACAGATTTAGATAAGAGGCTCATGAGGCCCAGGTCTAGAAGCATCATCCTTTTAAACATCAAAATTAAAGTAAATTTTATATTTGTACAGGATTATCAATTGTGGCAATCATCATCAATGTAGTACCTTGAAGTAGTACATTGACATATAAAAATGAAATCTTGATATTTTAGTGGAAAAGTGATACTTTTCGACAGTAGTCAACTTTTTTTGTTCATTTGTCTGAAAGGGACACCAAATATCTTAAAGGGATACAGCCTAGAGTGCAAAAACGTATTAATCCACCACTGATAATAACAGAATTAATAATATATATTTTAGCAGATTTCATTTATATAATAATTTTTTATATGAGACATTAAAATATTTACTCAAGTATTAAGGAGATTTTTTTTAGCTAATATTGCTATATATATTATTTTATACACATGTTCCAGTCTGGAATCTTGGAAAATGAAGAGATACACGACATATCGCAATTAAAGGTACTTGGTTACGCAGAATATGCAGACACTAAGAATAGTTTGAAATTATTGGAAATTAGCCGTGAGAGCGAAGGCTTAACTGGCCGTACTTTAAGAAAAATACCATTTTTGGCGCATGCCCTTTACACATCCACGAACAAAACTGTACTATCCAAATTTCTGAAAGCCATGCATACAGCTGTTTTGAAACAGGATCAACAAGAAGGCGATATGCAGCAACAATAAGTAGAAAGATTGTTCCTTTTCTATTTACTCTAACTATACTATTTTATTATATATTCTATATTTTATATATATACATCTATATTATTTATATATATATATTTAATAATACGTTTTGTCTAATTTATTTTTGTATAATGAATGATGATTGCTGCAAAAAATACTTATTCTCTATTTGAGTCATTTATTTCGAACACATATAAAGTTGAAATAATATTTTGCACTATTCTCGAAACAAGGAGCTCGTTTCAGTCATAGAATTTCTTCCACATTAAAGTTGTTGGTCGAAATATCAAAATCGGGAACATAACAGTTTCCGTGAGGTCCAGTTTTGCACTGATCCCGCCTCGTCTTGCAACCGCCATTAAAATCGCTGAGATGCGACCGCTATTAAAGTTACGCTTCGTTCCGCTCCGATGATGCGGACTATACTTTGCACCGGTACGCGAGTTCTTCATATTTATCACAATGTGCCTACATTTTGAATGGGTAGATTGTTATTGTAGTCTTACTTACTGTGGTAAAATACAATGAACAGTATATATGGTATAATAAATAAATTTAAGAAAAAATTAATTGTTTAACGTTACAAAGATACGCAACAACAGTCAATAATCTCGCGAGGACTTGTGTTCTCGATATAAATATCAGACTAACATTCAGAATAACATTCGATATAAATATACACATTGTGTATCACGTCATTAAAATAATTAAAAAATATCTGGTTTTTATACATACATTCTATAGTAAATAATAAAAATATCTAAGAAAAAATGTTGTAAGGAAATAAATTGATGAGAGATTGATGATGGAAAGGTGAAAACACAACAAAAGATAGATCTTATTGTTATTAGAAGGAATAGGATTCGACGATGAGGAGAGGGGACTCGGTATCAATGAAAGAGATGGAGATCCATATATTTTACACTATGGTGGGCGGTTGTAAGACTGCCGGCGCTCTTCTGACCTTCAGCGCTTCCGGGCTCATGGCACGCGTCTGCTTCGCGATGCGATTGTAATCATACACGCCCTGGCTGCCATCTAAGCTAGACTTTCTTGCAAAGGTCTTTGCATGAGACGAATTCATGGACTTTTGTTGATCCATCGATGCACCATTACTATAAAGTGCATCTGCCGCGATGCTGCCCTCCTCCTCCACCTTCTGTCGGTACCGTCCGCGACGCATTCTCAGCAGCGAGTACACGCTGATGGAGATCAGCAATAACAGAAATAACAGGCCGACTGCCACGGCTGCGGCTATTACGCGCATCTCCGTGGGGTCTCTCACTATCAATTTGATGTTCGTTGAGTCCTGACCCTTCTCACTTTCCACTAATAAAATGTATATCCGAGCGTCCTCCTTTCGCAAATCCTTGATTTCCAGCTTGGCCCAATAACAGTTGGTCACCATTTTATTCTCGATGATGGGTTCCAATGGTAGAGCATCGTATTTTGGATTAATGCTTTCTCCTGTTGAAAATTCAAAGGATTAAGTAAAAAACAAGCAATGTAAACACGATTTATTAGCGACTTGACTCGATCATCAAAATTATGTCATGTGTTATGATTATCAAAATTAAATTCTCGTGCAGTTGAACTGTATAATTTAAATTTATCTAGCCTGATTATTGGAATTCTATTTTCTAAAAGTATGAATAGAACTGCATAATTTCTATAATTGTTAGTATTAATTCAGTATTTCCAAGAATAGTCTGTTTTACGGAATCGAAAAGACTTATTTAATGGTGAATTCGATTCACTCGCACTACACTGGATCAATGTATATTAAAAGCTGCTTTATATAAAATATCTGAATGCAGTGATACAATATAATCAACTTTGACAATGAAATGATATACATATATTTTGTTAAATAACGTGACAATATCATTAATAGATAGTTAATCGTTCAAAATATATATACTTTTATATCTAACTTTGCTAATTTTATGCAAAATAGCTTTTAGTATTGCATTGATCTAATGTAAAGCAAGTGAACGAATTCGATATAAATAAGAATCGAACTGAGACTGTTTTGAATTGTGGTTGAGCAAAATCACGTGGTTGAACATCAAAATGACGTTTTTCTATACCGGCTCGAAGATGAGAACTGCCCCACTGCCAAGCGACCAGTTTCGGTGGCGGTCGCGAGCAAAATCGGAATTTGAGCCTGTGCACAGGTTCCCCGGCCCATCCAACGGACTCTAAGAGGTTCTCGCCTAGCAATGGTTTGACCTGGATCTCCGGCGGTCCAGTCACGTGTAGCACATAGCGTATGCTACTGGAAGTCTCTCTTTTAACACCGTTGATTGTGTTGAAGGCAATGCAACGGTATTCTCCCTCGTCGGACCACATGATATTTTCGAGGTGGAGGCGTCGACCACCGCCCTTGTTCTGCACGCGATTCTCTATCGGCTCCGCCAAGCTACCGCGAAGATGCACCCATCTATATTGAGGGGACGGATTAGCTTCGAACTCGGAGCACTCAAAGGGGGCCATAGCGGAACCCAGCAACGCCATATCTTCCACGTTCATGGACGTGACATTTCCGTCTTTGCTCTTCTCCTTCGGTCCATCTAAGAAATACGCATGTTTTTTATCTTGTATCTGTCAGTCAAGTGGAATAAACGTTCTTATTTACATCGAATAAATAAATAAAACAATATTATATAAAGGGAAACGGTTTAAATTACGTTGAAACTTTTATGCAGGAGAAAAGAGTTAAGCATTTAAGAATTACAACTTTCACAGTAGCACGATGCATAATCTTATTGTACATAAAAAATTTTATATGTGATGCAATTCTATAAGGAAGAGAACAACCTTGTCATTCTGAGGAAAGGTATTAAGCGATGCGTAGATTGCTTTTAAATAGTTACGAAGGAGAAAGGTAGCAGGGAAAGGAAAATGGCAAAGTATATCGGAGCGAGATACATAATGTAATTCTACGAACATTGCACATCGAGCCTGTAACTCGCGGGAGCGCTTTCACCGACGTTGTTCGTCGCCTTGCATGAGTACAAGCCGGCATCACTCCTCGTGACCGGCTCGAAGTGCAATTTGGCACTCCACATAGTGTCGTTCAGCTCTGTCGTTTTGCCTTGTGTTAGCGATGGTGACGACGAAGATGTGGCATCAATTAACAAGCGGTCGAGCGGTACCGAGTCTTTGAACCATTTGATACTTGGGACTGGATTAGCATCCGCCAGGCACTTCAGGTTCAAGAAACTCACCGAATCCTCCGGAGCAGCCATGAGCGGCTGCGGACCCATCTCGAGTCGCACTTCCGGCGAATCTGAAACCGCAAAGCACTGCTGTTATGCATGTGTTGACTTTGCTTTGTCCAGCTTAGGAGCACAAACGAACCGCTTGTCCTCAAGTCATTTTAAATTCGTCACAGTAATGAAAATTATTTAGAAAGTATTTTAAAAAATAATAATGTAAAGATGAGAAGCAAACTTTCAAAATGCGTTTTGTCCAAAATTTGTCATTTTCAGAAAATGAAAAATAAAGAAACTATGGATTCAAGAAAATTACATATTTTACAGAAAATAATGATATGTCAATCAGTAGGATGTGGAATATGAAACAAAATTGCTAACAACTAAAATATTAAACAAAGGCATTTTGTTTGTCTATAATTAAAAAAACACATTGCATTTCGAAATGTCTATGTTTTTTTCAGCATATAAATTAACGAAAAAATGCTTTCTGAACATCTCAAAGTAGCTTGTAATATACGTGTAAATCTTTCAATACCGAATATTACATCATTTCGAACTAAAAAAATGAAATTTGGACAAAACGCATTTTGAAAATCTGCTCCTCATATATC